ACATAGTTCGAGGATGACATTTTCACCGCACAATATACACTAATACTGGTTAAACTTATTAATTTTTAAATTGAAATTCGTGTGGGCACCATAACCTCTAAGTAAAACACAGTGTATCCAGCGAGCGAATGAATGATTTTTATTTTGAATCTGTAACACATAATTCTCACACCAGGTGGCAGCACATACAACACAATACTCATCTTGACATTAATAAATCCAACATTAATCATTAGTATTTCCTCCCTTAACCCGTCCTTATCCTTATGACCTTATTCCTTATGCATTTCCTTATCCTTATGCATGCAAGAAAATGCTTTTATTTGGCCATTGGCACACGAAAACAAGGTTCATTACAATAGAAATAAAACAAATACAGTTAAAATAAAAACAAAACATTAATAATAGATTTTATAAAAGAGAAAGCAGCATGGAGCATTTTTTCTTATGATCCACCGGGTGCTCATAAGGATGCTCAAGGGGTTAACAATAATTACAATTAGTTCAGAATCAGTTTTTCATGCTCAAAATGAAGTTATCCAACTCGAGCTGTGGTATCAGGTACCAGGTTCGTTGCAAGTGCAGAAAACTGTTGACCTGTTATCAAATTTGGAAAAAAAATACCATAGCTCTGACTGGAACTGTGCAGGCCAGTCCATAACCCTGATTTCATGTTCCCTAAGCACAGTCGATACCAGTTTGTATTGTGCACTAGTTGGAACTGTTCGGAATGTTCTCGAACCCACAATATTATAGCCTCCGCCCGTGATTCCTACGCCACAAAGCTGGAACCCGAAGTGTTCTGCAAAAATGAAGACAGGGTTCATGTACATTTCTTACAGTTTAGTCACTAACCAACAATTGGTAGTCAGATTGTAATCTTCAAACCATTTGCATAGCCCTAATATTGTGATATGGACAGTGGTGATGCAATTTCTGCCTGAATGCCGTTCAGCGACATAGCCTGTAGCATGATATCGTGACTGTAACCGGGAGATTACATTTTGGCCGTTTTGCAGAGTTTCAGCAAGTATGCGTTGTATAGCCCCCGCTTTCAACATGCCTACAGCTCTAATCTGCTCTTCCCTTGTCAAATGTAGACATGACAACAATAAATGTAACAACATCCGTTGAAATTAGGATAGGAAATCTGTAATCACTTTTAATTTTTCAAAACTTCAATTAATGTTTTATTCTAACATGAACTAACTTTTCGACTGCCAAATTCGAACAATCGATATTCTTTTGTTTCAAAATGTATTTTTGTTCTTTACTTATTTGAATTTCGAAAGAAGTGATAGGGAAGAAAATACTGAAATACAAACTTTTTATACACTCAATAGTTTATAACTTAGAAGTCTTTCATGTATTATCCTTAGACACTGTTGATGGTGTACATAACTTCACGCTTGTCTCCTAGGGGGGTTGGCAGAGACTATGGAACGCCAATTGCTATAATTCGATAAAGATTTAATTCAATTTAATATTAATAAAAATGGACTAAAAACAGCCACTCTATTAACTGGAATTAAGAAGAAAAGGTAAATATGTCCGAAGCCTGTTAATTATTGCGTGGCTTAAATAATCTCTTTAAATTGTGTATATTTTGTATGGTTTCAGCATTTATTTCGTTTGGTTCTTAAAGAGTATTCTCAAATCATTGAAAATAAATTGTTAAGCACAAACACCATCATAATTAAACTGTCAAACACCAAGCGGTCACCGGTGACCGCAACCTATTGTTGTTTAATTGTGTCTATAATGATGGTAATCAACGAGTTAAAATGAAAGTATGGGAGGAAATATGTACAAAGTAAGATTTTTTATTTTATTCTCCTGTTTGTTCTGATTAAATTTGTTCAGAGATAATGAAGTCAAGCATGCAGCTGAATATGTGGGTAGGGTGGGGTGATTAGAATCAGAACATAATCTTGTATGAACCCCATACAAGGTTATAGTCTGATTATTGAACAGATTATTTCCAACATTTTAGTCAACAAATGAATGGATGGAAATGAACGGTTATTAAAATATTTAATTTTTAGTGTTAATTTCAAAATTACACCCATGGTAAAAAAAAGATATGCGTTTGACCTGATTTTCCTTTTTTTAATTATCCTACTTTATTAGTTTATTTACCAGTTCTAATCATCAAATAAACAATGATAGTATTATTTCACAGTGGCCTCTAATTTCTATAAATTAGAGGCCACTGTGAATATTGGAACAGACACAGAATATTGGAAGATTTTTAAGTTTGACTCAGAAATATGTTTCTCTAACATAAAAATTCACTATGGCACTAGTGCACTTTTTACGAAAAATATTTTTTATGGCAGCATTCGGCGTCGCCCACGGACGCCTGGAACACCATAGGCAATACAATTACGTTACCGGCCTTTTGGGATTCGGAATTTGAGGATTATTGGGGATTTAGAGATTGCGGAAAGGGAGGGGAGTGGGGGTAATTGGGCCTCCGGTAATCTCACTCACACGACGAAACACAACACAACGTTGTTTCACGTCGGTCTTCTGCTCGGCCGTGGTATCACCCCGGTCGAGCCGGCCCATTCATGCGGAAGCATGGCTCTCCCATATTTAAACATTTCATAAGCTTTCATATGAGGTTTACAACTTCATCCTACCTGGGGCCCGAATTTGCTATGCAATAATGTCTCAATGATTGACCATTTTTACACAATTGTAATAGCAGACTAATGCCAAAGATATCAGACTACCAATGGATCATGGTAGTAAAATATGAAGTGCAACTTACAAGTTTACTCTTGAAATCCCACAACTTAGTCCAGGCATGTTGATGTTGTGTGCCTCATAAGAAAGATTACGAAATGTAGATGTTCTTTATAAAAACGGCATAACAAGTGTCCGTGATACTATATTTTTGTGCCATAAAAGCATATTTCTGAGACAAATTAAAAAAAAATACTATCTATGAATTTGGAATCACTGTCTAAAATAATATTATTATTTTGATGATTAGAACTAATATAAAAACTAATAAAGGGTAGGGTAATTAAAAAAAAAACAAAATTAGGTCAAACATTTTTTATATTGCTCACTCTCCTACTTTTACCTAACGCATGCTGAAAAACTCTGTTATTGGCTTTTAAGTTTCCATGCCTTGTCATTATTATAGATATAGCATTTACTTAATAAGCTGTTGAGTTTTCTGTAATAAAAATAAAATAAATGAATAAACATGTTTCATTTTTGTTTTTGAGTTACCACGAGTGTCATTTTGAAATTAACACCAAAAGTTAAATATTTTAATAACTGTTTATTTCCTATGCCTTAAATAGACAGATATGTTGGAAATGATCTGTTCTATAACCCCAGTTGAGATTATGGTCTAATTACAAATCACCCGGAATATTATGTTCTTCACTTGTTTCACAACACATTATATCTGAACTACATAATGTTGTATAGTTATTTCGTTAAACATATACCTACATATGTATTTATGATATTTATATTCATTGTACATATTTATTTTTTAGGTTTAATCAGTTGATTAGATCTCTTAATTTAAGTCAGTTTAAAAAGAAGCTAATACAACTGGCCGCTTAGATTGATATTTACCTCTCCACGGGCCCATGTTCTGATTGCATCAAAACTTTTAGATAGTTTGGTATAAAACCACCAGCTAGACTATTTTTACCATGTCAATAAAAAAAACTGCAGTAGCCCGGCTAAATGGATATTTTGATTTCTCTTCTTGTTCTTCAAGTTTCTCCATTGGATTCCTACGTGTATTAGAAATATTTATACACTTCATTAACCGCTTGAATGTCTGTATATGAGACACAATAGACAATACATTGTGTCTCGCGTGTATCCACGTTTAGTCACACGGCAGGTTAATCGAAATCGATTTTCAACCTCATTTAAACTGTCAAACACCAAGCGGTCACCGGTGACCGCAACCTATTGTTCTATAATTGTGTCTACAAAACCGGTACTCGACGAGTTAATTCTAACATAATAACTTTCAGATCTTGAATAATCTGTATCCAGTTTTACCACTATTTTACTATGATATTTATAACTAACTGCCTCGTTGGCCGACTGGTCGCAAGTGCGACTGCCGGGCAAGGGGTCTCGGGTTCGATTCCCGGGTCGGGTAAAGTATTACTGGGTGTTTAAAAAATTCTTAGTTGTAGCTCGGAGTCTGGAATTGTGCCCGGTGTAGGCTCACTCCCTATTACATGGGACTTATAACATAAATAGTGAAAAGTGGGTGTTACATGGTATAATGTGCACCTCTGCCCACCCCTTCGGGGATAAAAGGCGTGATGTTATGTTATTTATAACTAAATTTTACGAATAAAATCAGGCGCTGCGTTTTTAGGTAAAAATGAAATCCATACTAATATCAAAAATATAAATAATAATAATATAAAATAGTGTGTGTTTGTTTTTCCGTATTTCGGAACAAAACAAAAGCGACGAATTGAGGTGATTTTTTAAGTGGAGATAAGTAGTTGAAGGGATAGAAAGTGATATGGGCTACTTCTTGTCTCCCCCCCTCCCACTTTACAAAAAATGTGATGGGTTTATAAGGAGCGTTTCACAATTTTCAAGGTAGAAAAATAAAAATTGGTATGTTGACTTGACTACTGATCAGGACGACATCATGTACGGGGGAGGAGCTGTGAATCTTAATTGTTTTTATGCATTCTGTGGCAGCGTGTAATCTAATAAAGCATATTATCTAACTTTAATCCAAAAAACACAATTTTAAAGAAAAAATTTGAATTCAAGTTAAATGAATACATTTTATTCATGAACTAGCCTCTGCCGGCGGCATTGCACGCGAGTGCGTTAATCGTTTTTGTTAACGTGTCTGAGTAGACACGTTAACAAAAACGATTAATTGGTGCACAATTTTAACCGTACGTACGCATACCAATTTTTAGCTTTCTACCTTGATATTATTATGAAATGCTACATACATACTTCCACCCCTCATTTTCGAAAAGTGGGTAGTTCATACGAGCCTAAAAGTAGCCCATTCTACTCACCTTCCTTTCAACTATCTCCGCTCAAAAAAATCACGTCTATTTCTAGCTCTATTCTGCCATGAAAGATAGAAGTAAAACAAACAGATACACCCACATAACTATTATAGAAAATATTTCTATGTCATCTGACATTTTCTTGACTATGTGACTTTACAAGTCAATAGATCATAGATTTTTTTTTTGTTATCATGTTGACATTAAGTTATGCAAAAAGGTATCCAGCAGTCTTAGAGTTCAAACACCCATAATTAAAATATTTTCAGTTAATCTAAGGTTCTAGGTCTGTAGACATGTGAGTTAGTCTTGGTACCTACAGGAGATGGAGATAAATGATGCAACATTAACAGTGAATATGGAATATATTGATAAAGATTTAATACACTGTCCTACTTGGTCAGAGGCCAACGGATAACTGCCGTTCACGTCACGCCATTACAATTAAATACAATTCTGCGAATTGCTACTCGTGATACGAACCCTACGCGTAAGACATATTTATGTTACCGGCTAAACTAGTTTTGCCTAGGCTAAACTAATTCTTCCTATACGTGTTAGGATTAACTAGTATAGCCTAGTTCAAACTAATCTGTCCTAAGCCCGATAGTATAAACCAGTTTAGGCTAGGACAAACTAGCTGGTCCTGATATAAATACGTACACTTTATCCTAGTTCAAAAGTAGTTTGTCCTGAAATCGATTTTGGCCGGTAACATTTATAATCTTAAGGTTTTGTCTAATAAAGCCGTCACCACTCGACACTGACCAACATAACCATGTTGGAAACTTGGTTATACTACATTAATGTCGCTATACCATATAGCACCATCTTAGAGTAATTAACCAACTAAAAACTCTGAGGGCACCATATATTCACTTTTACTCTCAGATTGATGTTGGAGTAGGTTAGTCCTACCTTACTCCTTGTTTATTAATACTAAATTTTGTTATTCTCAGCCTAGGCCAGTTAATCTTACTCTATATTTTTCAACTAGGGAATACGAAACTTTGAAAAGCAAGGTATCTGCAGGACAGGATTATAATAACTCTCAACAAGTTTACTATGCTCAAACGTCAAATACTATATTACAATTTTGAGTTATTAGGCTATAGTTAGAGTAATATAGTAAGCTGAGCAGAGTAGATTTTAAAATCCTAAATTATATATACGTAATTAATGTTGAAACATTTCAGGCCGCGTTCACGTCGGGTACAAGCCCAAAGAAAGTTTGCTCAGGGCGCGTACGTGCCTCCAAACCCAGCAGCGGTGGCAGCCGTGGACAACAGACGCGATGCCGCCCAAGACACGCGCAATGTGACCATCAATAACATGACAGCGTCGAACTTGCTCGACGTGGTCTCACTTCAAGGTCAGAGTTCAATACAAGTACTCGTAGTTCATAATAATTTAAAAGTTCAAGGATTATACCGGTGTCCTTGGAAGTATGAAATAACACCATCTATGACCCTGTTCCATTTGATCCATACTTCCAGGGACAACCTGCATATATAATAGAATCAGGAGTTGCGTTTTTAGAAATCCATACTACACTAACAACTGGATAAATATTTAGTTTTAATTCTGTTGGAGTAGAGTAATTGCGGCATGCAGCACCGCCGTCACGCCCGCAAACAATTCGAGCCGCAAGTGGTGTCGAGTCGACGTCGTCGTGGAGGAGCGAAACATGTGGCGAGTGTGGTTCGAGTGGTTGTTTGCGCGTGTCGTCTGTATTTTGTGTTGCATCTCTGCTGCATACTGGATGCTGCAAATTTTTTACTTCAGCGGAAATTAAAATAATTATTTTCCAGTAGTTGGCGTATTTCAAGGATTGGCAAATCATAAAGGTGTGTCCAACCTCGTCGTGCAAGGTGCGCGGCACCTGCGCGTGGCAGTGCTGCGCACGCCGCACTTTTTACTTCTTATTTAAACCATAATAGTGAAAGCGGTTCCGTAAGTTGTAGCTCTGCTTCGACCCCATACTGCACAGCAGACGGTCTCCGAGCTGCATGAACTGGGCTTGGAAGCTCTCCTTGGGCGAAAACCCACCAGATTATTAGAGAATAGCCTATTTAAGTATGGGCTATTTGACTGGCCTGGTCGGAAAATCATAGTAATGTATATTATACCTATTTATGAACGCAATACAATTCCTTCTTCAGAAGATCTTCACGTTTGGTTTGGTTATTTCATTGTACATATTTGCGCGCAGAAATCGTCCAAACATAATTACCGCCGAATGTTTACAAAGCACGTTCGCGCGCGGCCGCCGCGCTCGTTTGCCGCTCGATGTCTGGACACACCTTTAAAAGAATTTTAATAATTATGTATGTGTGACTAATTACATTCAAAATACACCCAGTCAAATGTCTTCTATGTAAATGCATTCTTGCATTCGTAATCATTGCTACGCTACAGCTAAGATTTTAACACTAATTGTATTTAGGAACTCTAGTTAATACAATAATGATGATAAGGGATGCTGATTATGATGAATAATGATGATTAAAAGAAATGAAGCAATATTCGTTTTTGTGGGGGACGATCATCGCTCGCGGTAGTAGCACTTACCACCTACCTAGGCCCACCCTACACGTGCCCCCCGGGTGGTGCTAAACGAGCGAAATCGCCGAGTCTCTGGCGGCGCAAAACTAAACAAACCAATCCAGACTTAACAAGTCTGTTCAGTGTAGGTAGGATGTGACCTCCACAAACCGCAACCCTGTGGTTGTTATGTCTCATAGAAACAGTGGCTTCGGCTTTACCGCACAGACCACGAAGACGAAATCCTCTTTAATAAGTCACCCCTAATCCTACGATGGGAAACGCGTTAATAGTATACATGGCTGGTGGGTTGTAGTCGCTAGCGCCAACTATAACGTACCTGGCGAACGTTATAGTATGTAGCCTTCTCTGCCGGAATCCAAGTAGGTGGTAGTGCGACCTTCAGCCGTCTACTTTTAACAAAAATAAACTGACGCAGCAAAGGGCATTGACTAAAATTGGTGCCTTTCTTTTTTCTGGCGGCAGTCGATGATTCATGGAAAATATTGTCTAGAATGACATTACAAACGAAATTGTCTATGGGCTCATATATGGAAATCTCAGTCTGGACTAAGTTATGAGCGTTAAAAGGAGCTGGAATCAAACATTTTACTTTCGTTTTTTTATTCAAATTATTCATATTTTTGTCACAATTCCTAACTTCAAATTGCACGCCACTGTACGCCGGGCACAGAAACACCAAATCACACCACAATATATCCATATTGCCAGTCGCTAATTTTTATTAGCTATTTTCTCTCAGTCGATAACTTGTAGGATGCTTCTAGGAGTTGTGTCATGAAGCTTCATGAGTGTCAGCTGTGGTACCAGTGGTGGGGTAAGTAGCTGTAGCCATCCAAACATCTAATAAAGTATTTTTTTGCCGTTGACTCCTGGTGGGAGACTCATATACTTTATAGTTAGCATAATCTTTTGAAGAAAGCAAACCGTCGAAACCGTTGTAAAGTGATGGACTATACGTCAGACGACCGCATAATTTTTTCATATAATGTGATCATTCGAAATGCATCTCTTTGTGAAAACGATGTCTTTGTACAGAATCTTATGCTAGATGTAGATTAAAGTATTAACTGTAGTTAGATTAGTCACTAATCGGAAGTAAGTCGGGAGAAGTAGACAGAAAAATGATTTTTTCGTGTTTTGACGACTGTTACTACTCAATTCGCTACCGACGCCGCAGCCGACAAACATAGCATAGCAGTAAAGTATTTTGCGGCTTTTTGACTGAGAGGAAATTGATCATGGAATCTGTCATAGGCCATAAACCGTATACATATATAAATTGAACACGTTAGCCAATCAAACGAAATGTTTTTTTTTCTTCAGCAGTGGTCAGTTAATGGTTCACTCTGTTCTGATTCCGTGGCCTTATAATAAAAAAAAATATAAACAAACAAATAAAAAGTAAAAAAGTCCACAATAAGCTTTATTATATTCCTTGATATCATCTCTAAACAATTATTAAAAAATATTTCTGACAAGTAAATGAAGAAATATGCGTTGTGTACGGTCACCATCAACAAAATCACAGGAATTATATAGCACTATTTTCACATCTTTGAACTAATTTAACTCGGTTCGGACTGTGTTTTTGATATAAGACCCCATACATTTTTTTGTTTGTAATGTTATTCTGCATCAGTTTATCCACATCCGATCAACTGCCGCGAAAAAATAAAAAGGCACCACGCTCCATACAAATTTGGTCATTGTCATTTCTCTATATAATAAACCGCAGATCGCAATTTCTATCAGACTGCAGTTAAAACGTTATTTGACGAAAACATTGCCGACACTCTAGTGGAAAATCGTGGCCCTCAAAATACTGTCAACTCACCGTGGGTAGAAGTCCAGAACCGGAAACATCAAAGAAACAGCCCTGCTGACAGAAGCCTATAGCAACCGAAACCTAACACATACTGGCTTAGCCAGCCCGTAACGGCTTCAAACACACTCTCCCTCCTCAATAGCCAACAAGAGAAAAGTAAATAATCAGCCCCTACCAGCAGTAAAAAAATGCTCGCAGAAGCGGATTTTGAAAGAGGAGCTCTGGCCAGCCTTGGACACGTTGCCAAAATCATTTGGAATATTAAACAAGCATCAACCAAGACTCCATTACAATCATGTTTGGTCGAACTCCAGTCAAAGTCGGACTCCATTACGAAAAGCCATCACGGTTGACTCCAGCAAAAACAACCCCTGTCAAAGCATTTTTTTTTTATATTTGATGGGGCGACGTTTGACCACTATCTCACCTGATGGTAAGCGATGATGCGGTCTACGATGGAGCACGTCGTCCCATAAGCAACCTATTCACTCGGGCCTTGAAGACTCCCAGGTTATACCCTTCAGGAAATACAGACTCTGGCAAAGAATTCCACTCTTTAGCAGTACGCACAAGGAAGCTTGAAGCGAAGCGCTTCGTGCGTGTGGGCGGAACATCTACCATGAATCGGTGACGCTTCGCGGATTGTCTTGTGGTACGATGATGGAAAGGACTAGGGGGAATTAAGTTGTGCAATTCCCCCGCACACTCCCCGAAATGTATCCGGTAGAAAACCGAAAGGCTTGCAACCTTACGCCTGTGTTCGAGGCTTTGAAGCCGAGCCTTTACAAGCGCATCATCGTCGATGAGCCTCCTGGCACGCCTCTCAATGTGCTCTAACGCGTCCAGCTGATATTTAGCCGAGCCGTCCCAAAGATGAGAGCAGTACTCCATACAGGACCGAACCTGTGCTTGGTACAGGCTCAGCAATTGTCTCGGCGTGAAGTACCGTCTCACCCTCCATAGGACACCCAACTTCCTACCAGCCAGTTGCGCTTTTGACTCTATATATGAGCCAAAGTTGAGCGTGGGCGTCAGAGTTACACCAAGAAGCTCAAGACGATCGGTTATCGGTACGGATACATTCCGGAAAGTAGGAGTCAGCGGAAATTGACTCCGTTTGGCGGAGAATAGACACGCCTGGGTCTTGCTAGCATTGAACCTAACCAAGTTGGCGTCACCCCAGTCGGACACCGCCTTCAAGGTCGAGTTCAAACGTTCGACCATGGATTCTCTTAAAGACTGGATCTGTGTTCCGCTAGTCCGCGCACCGGACACATACCTTTCAACAACTGTGCTGTCATCTGCATACCCAAAGATACCGGGCTTAAGCAGGTCGTTTATGTGCAGCAAGAAGAGCGTCGCTGAAAGTACTGACCCCTGAGGGACGCCGGCATTAATACCGAATTGGTCAGACGAGCAGCCATCGATGACTACTCGTATTGACCGATCCCTCAGAAAGTCTGCTATCCATCTGCACAGACTAGTAGGAAGTCCATATGCAGGAAGCTTGTCGATTAGACTGTCGTGCCATACCCTGTCAAAGGCCTTCGAAATATCGAGGGAGACTGCTAATGCCTCTCCGTGCCCCTCTATGGCCTCGCTCCATATGTGAGTGGCATACGCAAGAAGGTCCCCAGTCGATCGGTTACGTCGAAACCCGTATTGCCGATCGCTGAGGAGATCGTTACCTTCAAGGTATGCCAGAAGTCTATTGTTAAGTACACGTTCCATGCTCTTGCAGAGTATGGACGTGACCGAAATAGGGCGGTAATTGTTAGGTTCGGCACGACTACCTTTTTTAGGCACAGGCTGTACGTTGGCCAGCTTCCATGCAACCGGTACTTGAACCGTCTCCAAGGAAAGGCGAAACAGACGTGTCAAGATTGGAGACAACTCAGGCGCACAGGTTTTTAAAACCAGGGTTGGGATTCCGTCGGGACCACTGGCCTTGTTCACGTCCAGATCGCGTAGCATTTATT